ATGCTTTGTGGCATTCCTTGGGGGAGGCCTATGTTCAGCAGTGGACTTGTGAAGGGCTGTAATGGTGATGATGATGATGAATCAGGACCCACTGAGTATATTAAATCCTAAATTTTAAGAATAAAACTATTATGGTTCTTGAGTGCCATTTATACCACTAATTGATTCACTTACTGACTGATTATAAACCTAGTTCAGTTCACTTCTACTATCAGGTGGACGGTTTTATTTAACTGACTGTTGAATTTATTTATCACTTTAGTTAAAAAAAGATTTAAAATACTTATTTCATTCTTACCTCGGACAACGTGTCATCAGTGTATTCCTTTTTGACGGTCATAGTGGTGCCACTTTCGAATTTAATTACTTGTGTGATTTTATTTCCATCTACAGTAATTGTAGTTTTCATCTGAAAAATAAGAATACATTTTTTTAATTTTTATTAGCCGCTTGCTCGTTTACAGGGAGTAAACGAGCAAGCGGCTTACCAAATAATCACCTAAGCGATCACCACCGCTCATAAATATTAATAAAATTGGAGGAAACTCAGACCATAATTCACCCTTGCACCTCATACTGTGTTACAAGGTGCGGGGGTGAAACATGGCGTCTGTAATTAATCTGAACAATTATAATATATAGGGCATATTCGGCGGTGTCTTTTAGTGATCATGTAACTTCTGAATGACTTGACTTACGTTTGCCAACTCGCCTGCCGAATGTGGCAAATATCCCCCTATGAGGCTATCTACGGGGGAGGCTTATATTCAGCAGTGGACGTTTGATAGGCTTTAATGAATGAATGAATGAAAAATATAATAAATAGTGAATGTAGTAACTAGTAACTAAATAATAATTATTTCAATAGCTTCTGAAGTTAATGTTAAGACGTACTGTATAGAAGAGTTAAAGCCCCAACTTCAAAAGCTGTTACAAAGAAATTATTAAATATATATAATTATTTTTAGTTATTTAAGTCTTCCTTTCTTTCTTTTTAGTTAGTTAGTTATGTAGTCGGTCCTTTTACTTTTGACTAAAAGCTTAATTTTTCGCCCTTTGGACTAAGGAATATCACAAGCTCAAAGTAACAAGTAGAATGTTGTCTATTTAGTTAGTACCCTAAAAACTTCAACCCTTATTTCTACACAGTTTAAGGTCGATTTTTTTTCTAAATATAAATGAGGCTACTCCTGAATTTAACCTAATTAAGATTTATTTATAATTACTGAAATTGGTATGCCGACACAACCGGAGAGATATAAGGCGCAGGACCAACGGCTTTACGCGCTTTCCGAGACATGGGGGTTAAACGCAACCTGAGACAGAATTTATTGTTAAAAAACCCTATGCTTAAATTCGAACCCAGGACCCTGCAGATTAGCAGTCGCGTTTACTACCGCTACACCAAAGAGGAAGTCACTCAGTTTTTTTTATAAATCTGAAGGTACAAACATGGTGGGGCTCACAAAATTAGTACCATAACGCACTAGAAATAATAGGATAGACGGTGTGTGTTATCATTGATAACACACACCGTCTATCCTGTCGCATGTAGTCCTGTGTGTTGTCAACGTAAAATCCCAATTTTAGTGTTGTTATTATTCAATTGCTGTCCGTTAGTCTCGCAAAAACTTGAAAATGGCTGGACCGATTTTGATGAAATTTTATGTGTGTGTTTGAGCGGATCCCTGAATGATTTAGATTCACTATTGGACCCGGTAGATGGCGAGATCCAGAAATCACTCGTGTGAATCCGGGGCGGATCGCTAGTCACGGGGCGGATACAAAACAAGAAAGATACCGTGTTATCGCACTAATTGTAAATCATTAAAAGGTTAAAAGGGACATTTCTAAATTTATTTGTTTAGTAAGAAATTATAATCTTTTACGAGATTTTCAGACAACATATTTTTTTTTATAGGATAAGGATGACAAACCAGCACACAGTCCACCTGATGGTAAGTGGTTGCTGCGGCTCATAGACATCTACATCTATCCTCTGTTACAAATCAAAATGTAGATGCGTTGTCACCCGTGAGGACTGAGATGAAATGCCTCATTTCCAGTAAAAAAGGCCTCCGGCCACCTGCACTCACCAAGCGAAACGCAGAGGTAAACCTCTACTTCACGCGGGTTTTCTGTGAGGTCGTGGTACTACCCCGGTTCGAGCCGGCCCATCCGTGCGACAGCAAAAGCTGCCGCGTGGCTCTACCACTATTAAATATTTATTATATAATACATATTTTAAATGAACTTCCATAATTACAACGAAGTTAATGAGAAATTTATTACACAGCCTATTAAAAAAAAATTAAATCATTGTCGATGGACTGCACTGGGACATACTAGTTTTGTATGAAGCAAAAAAATAAATTAATAAAATCTAAACGGAAACTTTGGAAATTTTATTTGTAACAATCAAAAATATTAATGCTTATAGCTTAATGATCTCAATAAAATCCCAGAGTAAAATTATAGAATAGAATGATTTCTATTCAATATAGATTATTACATATACTTTTTGAAAGTAATTTTTTTATTTACCGTTATATAATAAATAAACGAAAAGAATAGTTTGGAAAATCCAAAAGAGCACGCCTCATTAGGGTTTCAATTAATGTTGATGAAAAAAAAAATATATTCCTGACTTTTAAAATATATTATTTACGTATTTCTACAGCATTTATTCTACTCTCATGCTTCTTCTGCCAGACCCAACTTTCACTACCATACATTAAAGTATGGTAGTGTAATGAGTATGCTAGGGCTGAATCTGAATGACAGGGTGAGAAATAGTGTGATAAGAGAAAAGTGTGGTTTGCAAGATGACGTTGTGACAAGGATTAAGAAAGGAATGCTTCGGTGGTTTGGTCATGTAGAAAGAATGAACGAGGAAAGAGTGACAAAGCAAATTTATGTTGCGGAAGTGAACGGCAGGGTCGAGAAGGGACGCCCTAGACGAAGGTTTATCGACCAAATCGGCGATACATTAAAAATGGGCCAGATTAGGAGTACCCTTAACCGACGAGCGTGTATGCGTAGATATATGGATGTAAAAGAGGCGAGAGAGGTGTGTCAGGATCGCGCCAAATGGAAGTCCGTAGTCTCTGCGTACCCCTCTGGGTGACAGGCGTGAGTGTTTATGTATGTATGTATATGTATTATTTACGTGTATTAAATTTAGCGCTCTATTATTTCAACAGATAGTGTTATCTACAGTAATAATAATAATAATATTTACCCAAAGAAATCGATTATATTAAGTTTAAAATCGATATAGGCTGTATTGTACATCTATTTTATGTCTATCAAATGCAAAAAAATATATGACAGCTTCTTTAAATTTTTAATAGCAACAAAACTTATAAAAGTTGAAAATCATTTTTTTAACAACGCATATTATATTATTATAGGCTATTAATAAGAAATCAGTTGATGTAGTTCTGAAGCTAATAAAAAAAACCTGGTCTCGATACGTCAATTTTAGCATTCGGACGTCCACGTAATTTTTTTTCAAACAGGGTTTTACAAAGTAGCAATATAAAATATTTTTTTTAGAAAATATAAGATGAATTAATTAGAGTGTTTTCTTGATATACGGCTATTCATATGATCGCAAAAGTGCAATATGGTTATGATAGAGGCATTTTAAGAACACTAAATTGCTTGACCTTGACTTGTCGAGAGTAGAACACACCTATAACGCTTCGCGTTATGAGGCGTGTAATACTAAAATTTTAGGGGTAACTGATTACCGCGAAATTTTTTCAATACCTACATTTTTTTTAAGTTACACCCACTTATCCACCTGATGGTGAATGACTATTGTAATCTACGAATATTTGCAGCCAACTTCAAATAAAGAAAGGTTCAAATGCATTGTCACCTCTGATACTAAGATAAAATTACCTGTACTAAGATAAAATAACCTGTAGTTATACTGGCGGCAGAAACAGGTAAGATGGTGGTACACCTACCCAGACAGACTGTCTAGGGACAGAAAAGAAATCGCCCAATTAAAACTAAATGTACCACACTTAGTTTTAATTGGGCGTGACTACATAGGGGTTTTAATGTAACTATTGAGACAGCATTCTAGGTGTAACCTTGTAATACTCTAAAAATAAAGTTACAGCCTTTATACATCTTACAGCTGAGCACAGGCCTGCTCTTACGTCTGAGATGGTCAAGGAAGTACCGGCGCGCTTCTCCAATGAGTCCTCACACGGTCGACTTCACTTAGATTGTGTTTTAAGATTTCTCAGACATGAACGTTTTTTCACGATTTTCATCTTCACTGCCTAGCACGTGGTTAATCAGCATTTCAAATTATAAATTTTAATTAGCAATTTTATTGTTACCAGCGTGGACCGGATTGCACGCGTGTTACGACGATCGCTTAGCACCTGAGTTACCACCGTTGTAACTGTACTCTAGTGCTTCCTTGTACCTTCTAGCTAAAGTTGTTACATTGTATTTGCGATATTCCTTAGTTCACTCAAAAGGGAGAAAAAATTAAACTTTTCCTAAAAAGTAAAAGCTGGCATCAAAGATCAAAAAGAGTTTAAATAATTAAAAATTTTGTACAGCCGACTTCAATATAAATTATTAAGAATAACTCAAAAACTATTGGATTTTATTGTCAAACCAGGACTACATATGAAGTACCAGCTTTCAAAAAAAATAATCATCGAAATTGGTTCACCCAGTAAAAAGTTATGAGGTAACACACATAAAAAAAACATACAGTCGAATTGAGTACCGTCGCCTTTTTTAAATCGGCAGAAAAATCCCACGTAATAGTTTCTGAACTCGGGGACTTGCTTCACTTGTCTTATTAGCACCGTTTGTCAAAAAAATAGCAATTGTCAAAAAATTAACGTTGATTATATAAGCAACGTAAAAAAATATAATGATTTATAAAAACGGTTATATACAGTGGTATCAGTTGATAAAAGTGCAGGAGTTAAGAATCTTTTTATATTATCGAATTTTCACGATTAGATACGTACAGGCCGGTCTCTAAAGGCGGATGTGAATTCAACGCCAGATTTGAAGTTGAAGGTCTTTTCCCCCTCGGGCGTTTGAATAGTAAAGACGTAATCATCACCTTTCTTCTCAAATTTTTGAACTGGTTTAAATTGAAGAGTTTGCTTTTCCCTTTCTTCTGGCAAACCTAAACAAAGATAGAAATATTACATTTTTTTTTATAAAACTGAAGTGACATACGAACTTACATTCCACCTGACGGTAAATGGCTACTACAGTCTATGCACACCTAGAGACAAATTTTTATACGTGGTAGAGCCATGCTGCAGCTATATTAGTAGTATAGTTGTAGCACGAATGGGTCGGCTCGACCGGGGTAGGACCACGCTCTCACAGAATACCAGCCAAAATAGCAGTTTAACACTGCTGTGTTTCGTATGGTGAGTGTAGAGAACCGGAGACCCTTTTTACTGGAAAAGAGGCATTCCATCTTAGTCCTCACGGGTGACAACGCATCTGCATTTTGATTCGCAAGCGAGGATAGATGTAGATGTCTATGAGCCACAGCAACCACTTACCATCAGGTGGACTGTGTGCTCGTTTGTCACCCTATCCTATAAAAAAAAATCAAACAAGGAAGGCTACATCACATATCCGTGGATTAAGATGGAATGTCTGTAATTATATTGCTTCTATACTTTTTAGCCCGGGACACAGCAGTGCACGCACTGTTACTCAGCGACAGAAATAGGTAAGTGGATAGCGTGGATAGCACCTACCTATGCAAACTTTACGGCAGAAAATTTTACTGGAAACGAGGCATCCACCACAGTCCTCACTGGTGACAAGTGACAACGCATCTTTTTTTTAATTCTTAATTGAGGAATGTAGATGTCTATAGGTCACCGCATCCACTTACCATCAGGTGGATTTTGTGCTTGTTTGTCACCCCTATTCTATAAAAAAAGAAAATGAGTTAAACCATTTAAAAAAAATTACAGTACTACATTTTTTATATGAGAGGGGCAAACGAGACGCGGCTCACCTGATGGTAAGTGACTAACGCCGCCCATGAACAACTGCTACACCACGTACTAAGTTTATGATTAAACGAGCATTTACACGCTGGTTTAACCATTTAATCATAAACGATAAGTTACATAACTTATGTTATGTAAGTTACCGTTAATATTAGCTCGAAATGCATAAGGACATACCCATAGATTTGACGAAAGCTTCGTAGTTTTCTTCGCGCTCAGGAACAAAAGATTTTCCGTAAAAAGCCATCTTTAATTATTATTCGTGTTGGCTTAACTTTTATTTGTACACACGGCACCACTCCTTACAAAGTAATTACTGTAAGCGGTAAATAGCTCGATATTTATTTCATTTCGATGACACCTGATAGTACGATAGTAATAGATAAGGATACGGAGATAACTTTACAATGAAATAATTATTGTTCTTAAGAACTTTTTACGGTTCAAAGTACATTTGTTATTTTTTATTAAGTAACATTACTATACTTTAATTTTTCTTTATAAAAACTATACTATACTAGGAATTTCTTCAAGGGACTCAAACAAAGGGGTGTTATATGTTTGTAGTGTGTATCTGTGTATATGTGTAGATACACATATGTGCGTCTGTCTATGGCATCATACCTTCTGAACGGATGAACTGCTTTTGATTTAGTTTTTTCGTTTGAAAGGTGTCTTAATAAGGAGTGTTCTTAGATACGCTTCAAGAAAATCTGTTCAGACATTCGAATATCATTAGCTCATTTTGTTTCGGGGTTTTAAATTTTTTTAATTTATGTGATTATGTACTAGGTACGATAAAAGATTGCACATGGATAAACACACAGACAGGAGTTTTAGAGGGAACTTGACCGCCGTCGGATAGTTGCTTCCGTATAATCGTTTAAATAATATACATGTGAACTTCTAGTGGAAACAACGAAATTAGTGCTCTGATACTTAATGTATAAGCCTCAAGCTGTATTAGCTTCAAGTTATTCTGCCCGCTTAGACGCCTAAATATTAGTATCGTCGTCGACTGTACGCTGCGTTGGTAATGTGACGAATCAACATGTTGTTAAACAAGTTTTTAAACAAAATGTTGTATTTTGTAAATGATTTTCTTATAACTTGACAATAGAAATAGTATAAAGCGTATTTTTAACTGTAGCTTTGTCTTTGGTATAAAGAAAATTCCAAATAAATATTGCAGAAGGTAACTGGTATATTAAAAAAAATTAGAATAAATTAAAATTATATAAGAGTATTTTAGAAATCTGTTGTGTGGTGACGGCATATTAGAATCCATTACGCAATTTCGTCTCGTGGAGGTTCTAAAATCGATTGTGGAATGATTACCGTATATGATTTTTTTATAGAATAACGGTGACATACAAGCACACAGTCCACCTGATGGTAAGTAAATACTGTGGTCCATAGACATCTACATTTATCCTCGATTAAGAATCAAAATGCAGATGCGTTGTCACCCCTGATTACTGAGATGGAATGCCTCGTTTCCAGTAAAAAGGGTCTCCGGTTCTCTACATTCACCATACGAAACACAGTAGCAGTAAGCTGCTATTTTACGCTGGTATAGGACCACGCTCTCTGTGAGAGCGTGGTCCTACTCCGGTAGAGCCGACCCATTCGTGCTACAACCACAATATAGCTGCAGTGTAGCTCTACCACGTAAAAATATATAAATGTGTCGGAATATGTCGGATTTTTTTATGACTTCTGACATCACGTTTGCTCATGTGGAATACTCAAACCGGCGACGGGCAAGAGTGTCGATGATGCCAGATGTCTGGTGGGAACATAAATCTGGGCAGTGGTCAATCCGTCAAACGTGACGTTTAAGCTAAATCTTCACTACAACGAATGATGGCCACTGCTGAGGCATTGTACTTCTACGGGGTGATGATGATGGAAAAATAATTTCTTAGCAAATATAATATAATTATTTAAGTAAGTAATGAAATTACCTACATATATCACACATCTAGATGTGTGATAATTTCATTACAAGGGCTATTCCCAGGAATAGCCCTTGATTTATTTCTGAAAGGCTTTTTGGTGCAGGGAAAACATTGCCATGCCATGCATCCATTTATTTTAATGTGTTGGTATATTTTATAAGCCCTCGTAATATTTTTTTTTATTTATAAGACATGCAGGTTGCTCATGATGCTTTCCATCACCACAAACCAATGGTAAATCAGCATTTAAAATTATAAGTAACAATTTGTAAGTAACAAAATAAAAAATAAAACATGGATCGACCACGGTTTGCGCGTGTACCATTAAATTTTCAAGTAGGGTGCTCAATGCTTATCCGCTAAAATGCCACGGCTCTCCAAAAATTGTAGTGCTTTTAATATATTTTGCCGTGTTACATAACCTGGCAGAGACATACCGCCAAATGATGATTTCATAGAGAGAATGGGTCTGAACAGTTGCGTTGCGCATAAGAACCGGTTACGACGCGGCCGTTTCTTAGTGTCAAGTGCCTGGTTATGGAGGTTAGCGGAATCCAAACCACGATTGCACCGCTGGCCGGCCATAGATAGTTGCGGGCCCAATTAATGAGTCAGCCACTCATGAAAGACTGCCCCGCCATCTTACAAAACATTCTGGGATGGCTCTATCATTCCGGTTGGCGACCGGAGGAGAGGGCCTGGTGGTGATTTCCAGGGGGGTTCGGGAGTTCCCGCGATCTCTATGCTAGGTACCATCGATGCTGTGACTCTGTTGCGTCCCTAGGTTGTATATATGTATGACGCGTCGTCCAACTGCCATTCTCTAAACCTATACACTCCACCAAGTGTGAAAAAAATAAAAAAGAAGAGTAAGTTTGTGCAGCGGTTGCACTCCCTCTCCATCAAAGTGCACCTCACAAACATCCGAAGCCTGCACTGTAATCTCCATGCAGTCCACTACCACCTTGAGACTGACAAGCCGCACTTACTCTTCTTGACTGAGACGCAGATCAGATGTCCTCTAGATGCGGCGTACCTTGGCTACCCTGTGTACAAATTGGAGCATAATTTCTATCAGCGCGCCGGAATCTGTGTTTACACCCGCAACGACATCTGCTGTAAGCGTCTTAGTCACTTTGAAGATCCGACTTTCTCTACGATCTAGGTATTGATAGACACAGAAATGGATAAAATTATTTCTTTTTGTGTCTATCGATCAAACAGTGAGACCAGGGAATAACTAGGCTGTTTGAACACCTCAGTGAAGCCTCTGATGTGGCTCTAAATCGGTACCCTAATGCACAGTTGATTTCCTGTGGGACTTTAATGCCTGTCATCAGGACTGGCTGTTCCCATACCAGAAGATCGACCACGCTGGGAGAGAGGCGTGGAATTTTGCCTTGTCGCTGGGGCTCTTCCAGCTGGTACAACAAGCGACTATGGTACCTGATGTGGATGCGCAGACAGCCAACTGCCTCGACCTTCTGCTGACGATCGATCCAGATAGGTACAATGTTCAGGTTACCTCACTTCTAACCACTGTTTGGTGAAATCTGTGTCGTTATATACCCCACCTCACTACGATTTAGTTAGAAGTTAGCAGATTGGGACAAGATGCGGTATTTCTTTGCATCTTATCCTTGGCAACAGGTCTGCTTCTCGTCTGAAGTTCCGTCGATCTGCGCGGATACCATAACCGAAGTGATACGTCAAGCGATGGAGTATTTCACACCTTTTGCTGACGAGTTCATTAGTGGTAAAGCTCACCCAACAAGAACAAGAAAAGCACAAGTATATGGTGTACTTATCCTGCGTCTCTCGCCAAAGCGGTCGAAACAAACTTCTGTCGGTCTACACCGCCACCGCTGGTAAAACCAGATGGCTCACTGGCCTATGCGCCTAAGAAGAAAGCGGACTTATTTGCTTTTCTTTTTGCTTGCAATTCGCGTCTGGACATTAGCAACAGCGTACCATCTCAATTACCTCACTGCGGTACGTCTTTGTCAGAGGTACGTATCACCAACAAGAAGGTTCTTAAAACCTTGCGAAGTATAAACGTGAACAAAGCTAGTGGACCTGATGGTATACCAGTTATAGTTCTAAAAGTCTGTGCACCTGAGTTGTCTCTTGTGTTGACGCGCTTGTTCTGCCTCTAATTCAGGATTGGAATAGTGCCCAATTCATGAAAGCTGGCCAATGTGCAGCCTGTGCCTAAAAAAAGATAGCCGTACCGACCCTGCCAATTCTCGGCCAATTTCAATTACCTCCATACTCTGCAAGATTATGGAGCGTATATTGAACACCCGCTTAGTGGCATACCTAGAACAGAATGACTACCTTTGTGACCGGCAATACGGGTTTCGCCGAAATCGGTCAGCTGGGCATTCTAGCTTATGGGGCGAGGCACTCGAGAACAATGGGGAAGCACTTGCTGTTTCCCTTGATGCCTCGAATGCCTGGCTTTTGGGTAAGCTTCCATCCTACGGCTTATCCCCTGGTCTGATTGAATGGGTAAAGGATTTTCTGAGTGAAAGGTCTCTCCGGGTCTTATATCACAAGCCATCATCGGCGTTAGTCGCCGGTGTTCCTCAGATGTCCGTTCTCTTCGCAACTCTCTTTCTGCATATTAGTGATTTGTTTATGCCCGGTATCTATGGGTATGCAGACGATAGCACAGTTGTGGAGAGATACCAACCAAGTGCTCGGGCAATTTGCGATCAAATCTAATCCGAAAGAGAGGCTATGGTTGAGCGTATCTCCGAATGGGGCGATGCCAATTTCGTGAGATGCAACGCCTCTAAAACACAAGCGTGACTTTTCACCGCTAAAATGAGCTCGTTCACCAACCCAAGGTTCTACTTTCTGGAATGTATTATTGGAATACACTGACCGCCAGTTGTCAGGGGTTGGATTTTCTCCGAACCTCAACTATAGGCAGTTCATTGAGTCCAGAGCCAAAGTAGCTGCAAGGAAACTTGGTCCTTGCAAGGGTGCGGCTGTACTTCAGGCCGGGGCGATTTTTTATCTTATATAAAGCGCAAGTCCGGTCGTGCATGGAGTACTGCTGTAATATATGGGCTGGTGCTGCAAAATACAACCTGACAGCGTTGGAGTCAGTGGAGAGATGGGCTAAGAGGCTCATTGGTGACCTTGATTGTGTTGAAACCAACCTTGTCAGTCTCCAGCACAGACGCAGAGTAGCCAGCCTCTCGGTATTCTATAGGATGCATTCTTTCTTCTCCTTTCCACCATCGGACAACCAGGTGGTCGGCGGGTCTTCACCCCT